ACATCACAACATCATTTAACAACTTTTAGCAACAAATCGACCTTCCTTTAGCAACTTTCTCTGAAAATTAGTTGGCAACACTGATGATTTCTACCAGGGGGGCCAAACCCAACCCGACCCCGATTTCTACCGAAGGGGAACCCCCACCCCCACTGTAGTTGATATTTATCAACAAAATAATAGTTTATATTTTGAATTTTTTTGCATCACATCGTGTTATGCCTCTGCCGTCTTACAAGAAAAATATATTTCAGTCTTTCTACTTAATTTCTTGTTTAATTCAATGTGTTACTCGCTGTTTCTTTGTAATTATTCATGCAATTTCCTAGTAATTTCTATCAGATTTTTTATTCAAACGAGATAAGTTCACATTACTAATAATTATTGTTTGTAAATTGCATTTACTCAATTCATAAGGTATATTTCAATCATATCAGAGCTTTAAAATTTACTCATTATTTTAAGTGTAAAATATAGTACATCATAGCATACGTTTTTAGAGTAGAAACAACATTAGACTCCATCCAAGAGAACACATCAGCAAAATCACCTGATGTTGAGTAGATGATAAAATTAGCTATGATTAAGCAGTACGAACAGTCGAACAGGGGCTCAGAACAAGGATTTCCAAACAGCAGGGTAAAATAAAGCAGGTGTTTCTATACCAGCAGATTTTTAGAGTAAAAAAGTTGACAGTACACAGATGGGATGTGGCGTCTCTGTGAATTGTTGGCACTCACTGAGCATACAAGATATGGCTAAAGATGAACACAATCTATCTCGGCCATCTGTAAGTTAAGGCATTTTCATTTAGTTCAGAAAGTATATGTGAATTACTACAAAAAAAAAAGCTTTAGTATCTATATATGGCCATTTCTCTTCTGTAGTGGTGCATTTGTGCATGCCATTGAACCTAAAAGTGTTTTCCCACTCAGGTCCATGTTTAGGTGAGGTTTGGAATAAAATTCAATTTCCAAACTTGTCATGCTCTCAGGGTCTGATGAAATCCTTCCTCTAAATGTTCATTTGTATGCATGTGCTCACAGTACGAAAAAGCAGTTAGTTTTAACCTTAGATACAGGACATACAGTCGTTCCAAGTGGAGTCCAGCACAGTTGTTACATTAAAAAAAGGGGGGGGGCGGTT